ATTTCTTAAACAACTCGAACTCTATTCCAAAATATAACGTCCACAAAACTACAACATATCACTACCTCTAGTAATAATGTCCATACCAGCATGTATATGCACAAAACCTCAGTATCATTTACCATGTATTCAATTGTGAAAGCAGAATATTTTTATTATTTCAAAGCTCCCAAGAAAATTAAATTTAGGTATGACCCATAAGGAGTTGATATTCCGTGAAACAAATCAATCAATAAATAAATTTTAAATACTTTATGTGATGTGTTTTCAGCTGTATTCAGGTAGATAATTTATTGCCTATTTATCTTTAATGTCGTCATGTTTTGCCGCTGATAAACAGATATTAACTTCAAAGATTCTTGTTTTATGACAATGCACAACAGAATCTCCTAGATAAGTTATTAAAAGAAAGTAGGAAGAAAGGACTAACCCTCAACGTATAGAAGTCAGCAAGACGAACAGCCCAAGACGCTAGCTAGGAATTGGAGATGTCAAAATCTAGCAAGAACAGCAATTTAGATATCTGGAAAGTGTTTTAGCAGACGACAGAAAATATGTACACAGAAATCTGAAGGCGCATTGGAATTGAGAAATATGCCTTCCGAAGGTGAAACATAGTATTAAGAAACAGGAAAATTTCTTTAGAAACAAAAATTGATTGATTGATTTGTTTTCTATGGTTTATCAACACTTTGCATGTTATTTAAAGCCAGAAAATATTTTTTAGGTTGTAAGAATTTCTTTTTGAGATAATAATGATACAAGTCTTACTAATTAACCCATAGCTGGGAGGAAGAGATGGATTCATACCTTTCCCAAGGGTATTTGCGCGTAAATTTATCCACTTAACGAACCCGAGACTAATTGAAACTCGGCTCTCCGATTAACAATCCCGTGTTGTTATCCAGTGCCCTACCTGCACATTCCAAGCTTAGAGCACCTGGTATTCCCAAACGGTCACCCATCTAGGTACTGATCAGTCTCGACGTTTCTTAACTTTTCTATCCTCCGCTCATTTACTCTCTTGTTCCCCTTTGGTCAAGTGGATGCCGTTTTTCGAGACCTCTTCTACGAGGGTGTTTCAAACGTAGTGTCACGTGTTTTGCGTAAATCTTCACTATTCTCTTGTTCGTTTTCAGCTGACATTAAGTTTGACGTTATTATTGTCACTGATAAAAATCTTTAAAAAAATATCTTTATAATTTTGATATGAGCTGTATGTCTTTGAAAGAAAAAAAAGTTCTGTTTGTGGCAGTGCCTAAACTGGGTCAATGACGGCGCAACATGAGTTGAAGCGGAATTATCGCATCAGCTTGTTGCTGAGAAACGCTGGAGGTCTTCCGTTGTCTGAAGCATTATTAGTTTCCTAAAGTATAACACCGTATAAAGGAAGATGGGATAGATCTGAGACTGTTGAAGATTGTCGCTGTGTTTTCCCGTCGGAAATTAATAGCTAAACGAAAAGATCTTAACGCATGCTTTGACTGGGAGGAGGAGAAAAAATTTGTGCATGATTCCAGGGGAAGTATGGAAGAACTAAAAGGACGCCGCCAGACTTCAAAACTGATCCAGTCAGTTTTAAAGACAACTACAAAAGAATCGAATAACACAGGTTTTACGTTTCTCATTTATGTGAAATTAAGTGTTTATATACAAATAAATAATTGATGTAAAGTTCCTTTAAAACGAAATATTAAACGAGATCGAAATTACATTGCAGTATTTATATCAGTTTTAGGTTTGAAAAGTGACTTGAGTTTTATCTCCTACTAACACGAACAAAATACAGGCCTCGTTTTCATTTTTAGTATGTTTTCCCCGTTATCCTAAATAGCGTAAGAAGTAGTTACCATTAATTTATATGGGAAAATGTTTTGAGTGTTCCCAGTCCCTCCACTCTAAAATAGTTATATGTCTACTTGTCTCGATGTCGAAAGTCCAGGTCTGGCGTGGTTAAAAATGAATGTTTGACAAACTTCTTTTTTTTTTTTTTTTTTTTTTAATCGTTTAACCCCAAGCAAGACGACAATGCCACTAGAATGCAGGGTGTTACAGGGAAGTCAAAGAGAATGAAAAGACCGAGAATGGAGAGGATTGAGGAAAGGACAAGAAAAAACAACAGGGTTCAAGGGAACAAAAGACGGCGTTTGACGTTGTATAATTTTTGAAGATTGTAGTTATCAGGGAAGCAAGAAATCAGAAGGGGTTCCACAGGTGGGAAGTGCGAGAAAAAAACTCCACATGCATTTTTCTAAAATACAGTCCTTTCGCTGATAGAACAAAACATTCTACTAACATGTGCTAAACCAATATGCCCCTTTAAAATTGCAATTATTACAAACACTCAGAGTAAAAAGAAAATATCGCACAAAGTTACTTTTTTAGTTCAGGAACGCACAAAATTGATTCCCTTTATAAATTAAAGGTAATTTCTTCTTCGCTTTACATTTCGTGTCAATGCTCTCTTCCAAGTAGACACTGGCAGACTCGAGTATAAATCGGACCAGTCTCTGCCATTTTGACCCTCGTGCAACCCATATTTGACTATAGGGTAAAAAGAACTCGGGCCTACCCTTTTGACTCCTGTACAAACCAAGCATTCTTTACCTTTTTGATTCTAAATCAAAATATATGTGTCTGCTATTTTGACTCTAGTCTAAAATGGACATGTGTATGCTATTTTGGCTCTAGGGTAAAATGGACCCATGTCTGCTGTTTTGGCTCTAGGGCAAAATGGACCTATGTCTGCTATTTTGACTATACGGTAAAATACACCTGTGTCTGTTATATGGACTTTAGTGTAAAATGAACCTGTGTTTGCTATTTTGACTCTGGGATAAAATGGACCTGTTTTTGCTATTTTGGCTCTAGGGTAAAATGGATCCGTGTCTGCCATTTTGACTCTATTGAAAAATAGAGCTGTATCTGCTATTTTGACTCTGCGGTAAAATAGATCTGTATTTGCTTTTTGTGGCTCTAGGGTAAAATGGACTTGTGACTGCTATTTTGACTCTGGAGTAAAATGGCTCTAGGGCAAGATGGACCCGTTTCTGAAATTTTGTTTCTAGTTTTAAAACAGACTGGTGTCTGCTATTTTGACTCTGGGATAAAATAGTCCTGTGTTTTCTTTTTTTGGCTCTCGGGTAAAATGGACCTGTCTGTTATTCTGACAATAGTGAAAAATAGCCTTTTGTCTGCTATTTTGACTCTATTGTAAAGTAGACCTGTGTCTGCTATTTTGACTCTAGTGTAAAATGGATCTGTGTCTGCTATTTTGTTTTTAGCTTTAAAATGGACCTGTGTCTGCTATTTTGACTCTGGGGTAAAATGGTCCTGTGTTTGCTATTTTAACTCTAGAGCAAAATGAACCCGTGTCTGCTATTTTGACTCGTTTAAAATCGAAATGTGTCTGTTATTTTGGCTCTAGTGCACAAAGAACCTGTGTCTACCTTTTTGACTCTAGTACATACTATGATATGTTTACATTTTTGATTCTACACAAAACAGACCAGCTTCCCCTATTTTGACTTTAGTGCAATATGAACACCCGTTACAACAATGTGATGATATCGGCAAATTCCTCGAAGAATTCATTGAATCAAATCCGTAGTCATACATGTATGAATACACACTTTAACTGAAAGGTAGCGCAACGTCATGTAAAGGCAGGAACAACATTTGACGCCTGAATAACGATGTGTTGAACAGTTTCAAGTCGATAATACATTCCTCTATAAATTAAATAAATCAAAAGCGTAATCGTTCATTTATGATCGATTACACAGTTTACCTGAAAGGCGGTCATAGAAAAATAGGGAAAATATTTGATGACGATATATTATGAATTGATTTGAATAAAAGTTTTTTTCAGTTCAAACTTTTGCATCTACCTCATATGATGGAATGTAAAATTCAGTTGAAATGTGGCATAAGGTTCTAGAAAAAAATCAAGAAAAAATACATTGGTTGCTGAATAATGATACTCTGAATTTATCCTAATAAAAGTTCAAACCTTTGCAGCTATGTTCACAGGGTTGAATCACTGCCATGCACGACGTATTCCTTTGGTAATAAGAGAAATTTATCATAACTATATTCTCAGAGAATGCAGTTAAACTGAAGCGGAGGTTGTTTTGACTCAAAATCTAAGTTGATATAAAAGTTTCTAGTATTTCTTAATAAGATATTTTTGTTATTACTAAGGTCAACCTAATACAATACCAAAGAGCCACTCACGGTAGACTGAATAAGGTGCGTGATATGAACGTAGAAGGACGAAGTAGGAAATGAAGATGCCAGTGTATCTAACGACTAGCCCTAGGCTTGAGGAAGTAAAGATTGTCATTGATCGGGTTCCTATTTTGACTGATTTAAACACTGTTTAAATACATTAATTCAAGAATAAATGCTGATTCTAAAATCGGACATTTTCTGGACATCCTAATAACCTGTACTTATTACCTTCTCTATTTACGCCCTAACAACCATCTCATTCAGTAACACTCTACCTTGAATGGCTCCTGGGCCTTGTATTGGTTGAACAATAGTATTAAAAATCCACTGCCTTGTCTAGGGATTAAATTCAAGGCTGTCAGCTAATTTGCAAATTTAAATAATTTTCATATTCACTAGACAGATACTTTCTTATTCAGGATTTATTGTCTGTTCGTCTCAAATATTTCAGCTTACAATTCTTTCATGCTTCTAACTTGCAATTTCGAAAGAATATTGATTGATTTATTTTTTACGGCTTATCAACCCTTTGCAGGTTATTTAAGGTCAGAAAATATTTTTAAATTGTAAGAATTTTTTTCTTTGGAGTTAATAATTGTTTACAAGTCTTAATAATTAAACCATAGCTGGGGGAGAAGATGTGGATTCACATCTTTCCCAAGGGTATTTGCATGTAAGTGATTAAAACGAACCCAACGGGAATTGGAAATTGGTTATCCGATTATCAATTCCGAGCCATTATCCATTATACCACCTGCACATCCAAGCTTACAGCACCAGGTATTCCCAAAAGATCACTCATCTAGGTACTGACCAGGCTCGACGTTGCTTAACTTTTGTAATTGTACAAGAGCCGTTGTTTCAAAGTGATATGGCCATAAAGCCAAGTTTGTCGTGTTCGGTGTAATATTCACAAAGTAGCGGATCTTGGGAAGAAACATTCGAGTACAACGCGATTCCTACCAACAGAAGTACGAATGGGTATTGTTCAACGTAGAAAGGCGGGTCTTGGAAGTAAAGGACTGAGTCGATGCCGATATAGAATGGAGATCGTCTGAACATTTGCCATAGAAATAGCGACAGAGTAGCGATAGGCTTGTAACGTTTCGTCTATAGGGGAAACGTCTGTAGAACGGAAAATAAATCATCCTCCGCAAACGAATTTGAGCTCTACCAAGGCTGGAAAAATATATATGGTATATTTAGAGTACAAGAAATAAATTCCACTTGAACAACTTCCCAAGAACTATTACATTGTGGAACAGACTATTTTAAATTGTTGAAATGTTTTAAATGTGGGAGATATTTCTGCCGCACCTTGTACTAAGAGCAGATATAAGAATTAAGCCCGCGAAAAGATATACGAATATATGTCAAAAGTAATGTTTTCATGGAAAGTGATCGGACGAACTTGGTTTCCGCCAGTTCTATTAGGACTCGCCATGCCACCTATATTGTAGCAAACTAACCACATTCCCTCTGTATTCCCTCGGTTAGAAGTAAATTCCAGTTTCTTACCGCGAACTACTGCTCTATAGGAACCGACTCCCAAGTGCGTGTTTCCCCGATCACTACAACCTTAATCTGTTCAAGTCTAGAGTTAACAGTTACCTTCCCAGCCTATCTTTATAAACTGCCTCTTAATGCAACCCTCTACCTCGAATGGCCCTCGGGCCTTTTACAAAGCGAACCTCACTGTATATATACTTATTCTTTAATTATAGTAGATGTAACAGCAACAGCACAAAAAATAGAACAGAATGAATACAAAAATCCCAAGATTCCGAATCTCGTCCTCAACAGACTCTCCTTCCTTCTCAGTTGTGCCATGAGGATCTGTCGCAAATAAGGCATTCTTCTTTTATTGCAACAGATTTAATAATAGATGTGCGCATAGCACACCGAAACGAACGCAAAGCTTTTAGAATCTAAATCTAGTTCCCAATATAGCCTCCATTTTTAATCGTGGTACAAATGTCAAGTAGAAAATAATCCCTATTCTTATTTAATTACAAGAAATTTAGTAATAGAAATACGCAAAGCATACCAAAATGAACACGAAAGTCTCAGGATTCTAAATCTAGTCCTCAACGTGATATCCTCTCTTCTCAAACGTTGTATATACCAGCCCCTTAAATGCTTCTTGACTGATTTCTTAACCATGTGTCAGTTGCCTTTTTACCTCATCATCATTGGAGATACGTTGTTCTCTGATTGCTTCATTTATGCTCGACTAATGTAGCTCTTGAGCAGCAGATACCCCTGCACCTTCATGGTTTGTTAGCATTCTTGCAACCCATTTTTCACAGCTTTTTCAGTAATTAAACAGTAAGCACTATTATCACTCACCTAGAGGCTTTCACAGTTTTGCAAGGCTTATTATTCATTCAACTGAAATGAGAGCATCAACATACTTGGCTTTATCCTTATTTATCATTTACAGTAGCGGCTGACCTGGCACTGCAGCGCCTGTCCCTAAGGCTAGTTTCTCATTTCTCTCTAGAATTACTATGAATTCTATTGATACATCTCCGTTACTGTGCTTCTATCAAATGCAGCCTTTCCGGGGGAAAAATCCATAAATTCATGTGAATGTTTACAGTACTTTCTCCTTCCAAAAGTAGAGATTCGATTACGACTCTTTGATTTCCAAGTTTTTCCAGAAGGCAGCTATTTTGAAAAAAAGATCATATGTAGGGAAATAAAAGTTAACCGAAGAAAATTTCCCCTGAGTTTTAGATGTAAAAAAAAAAAAATAATTCTGACTAATATTTTAAAAATCAATTTTGCTTTTCGTGACCGAACCTTTTATTAAAATCATAATGATTTAAAAAGTTAAATACTTTTATTTCATTTCATTTTCTGTCTGAATTTTTGGGATGAGGAGTGTGTACTTGAACTCATTGGAAACGAGCGAGCAATAAGTGAACAGTACTAAAAATAAGAACTAGATATCCCTAGACTGTCATGGCAGTGAGACAGTTTAATAAAATACCCGGCGATGAGATAGAGTACAAGGATAAGCCAATTCATAAGTCAATTTTCCCAAATTACCGTATCCCAACTTCAGTCAGAATTTGAATTTGTTACTGTTGTGGATTCCGAGATGAAATCCGGTCTCAAATCAATGACAAACGCAGGAATGAAATATAGCAAATAACTGTATTGACGTAATAATACAATTGGTAATACGGTTAGTAAATCCAGAAACGCGGTTAGTAGCAATAATAATATATATATAGTCTAGTAAATCCAGTCTCGAAGTAGGACTTCCTTAGAGTCTATGTGCTCGCAACTTCTACAAGCGGTTACCTCACACTAGTACTCTACCTCCAACTCAATCACAATCACTGTCTCCTCTCTACTCTGACTGACTCTGGGTATTTAACGGCAGCAGTCCAAGTACATACTGGTCGAGTCCACTTGTATGAAAAAGGGGTGGACCCAATAACAGTTACCGATTTCATTTTTCATGTTTCTTGATGTGCAGATTTTCTTTTCTTTCATCTTCAGACGATTAAACGAGGCCATGTGGGACACAAGGATGACAAGAAAACTATGTTACGCCAGTTCTTCATGTAAAGAATAGTTGTTTGTTTGCCAGTCTTATACTTTTTCCTGTTTAGGATTGAGTTTCTGTTTCCTTCCAAAATCTACTTCAACTCAATATTTCTAACGTCTCCGCCCCAAACTCTGTACATTTATTTACTATTTATTTACATTTTTTTCCTCAATAGGAGTAGATAGATGTGCCTATCGTCCGGTTCAAGAAAGGAATTGAGTTAAACAAATATATTAGCAGAAACAGTAATACAAACATATACAAACGAGTGTTACAGCAAGAATGTTCGGTCCGACTGACTGCTGGAAACTTCACCCTCCAAAAGGCAGTACCTGCTCCTATTTATAGCTGGGTGAGTCCATGCGTGCGTATACCATAACAGTATCAGAAGAATTAATAAGAATTATCTCTCTTATCATGAACAGTGGAACAAACTGATTGCTGCTGATCTTTACCTGGTCTTTTACCTGGTCTCAAACACCGATCCCTGACACCAGTGAAGAACACGCACCTATCTCAACCCCAAAGCAGGCCCAATTCTGTTTAGCCTCTTCAACAAATAGTATTCTCTACCCAATTAATTCACACAAGGCGTACATCCCATAACCAACTGATGTCGTTGATCACCATATATATTACAGCCACAGCAGCAGCAGCAGCAAGGAACGTGTCAAGGGGATGATAGCTTAATGAATCTCATCGCTCTTCTGGATTCAAAAATTATCCTTCTATTAGGCTGCTTGTCCTACCGAGACTTAAAAGCTCAATCTACCCTACGACTTTCTTCTTCTATGTGTCGTGTCCCTTTCAGGAAGTATGCGATCATGGCTGTCCAGAACTTCCTATGCCTCATGGCCCTTAGCAACGTTTCTCTCTTTGCCACCCCGACCTCCGCTCCGTCATATAGATCCATGCCATTTCCAAGAGCATTAGCAGAAAATGAACGCAAACAGCCACGTCCGGAACTTAAATTCAGTTCTCTGGTCGATGCCCATCGGAGCACCACATATACTGCAGCCCAAGCAGCAGCAAAGGGTGTGTCTAGACCATGATGGGTTAATGTTCATCGCTCTCCAGGATTCAGAATTTGCCCCAGCGAGACTTAAAAACCCACTCCACCCTTTTACTTCACTAATAGATACAGAATGAATAGAAGCTCCATGCCTTTTCCAAGAGCATTAGTGTGAAATGAACTCAAACAGCCTCGAGCGGAATTTAAACTCAGTTCTCCGGTTGAATTTTCAACGCCGATAGCCATTATGCCAATCACACCTTCATTCACTCAAGCAACAAAGTTTGTTTTTTTTATGTGAGAAAAATAAAAGTCTCATTAAGAAATTAGTGTTAAAATAATGTATATTCTGTCTGCATTTCCGATATAAAGAACGCTGATTTATTAGAACTGACAACTTGGTTGTTAGGGTCACAACGTTTCAGCTGTTTTACATTTTTCAGGTGCCCAAGCCTTCATTCAGTGCATGACTGGAGACTTCTGTCGTTCCATTGGCCATGCAAGGGGAGATAACTCTTATTAATCTATTCTGGTATTGCGTCATTTTATTTATCCGACTGTGTTGCCGCTTCTGTTTCTTCTGCTGGACCACAGTAACAAAGCTAGTGATGTTTCATGACCACCAAACAGACGCTAAATTTACGCCAGTCCTGTTGAGTAGTCCTCACAAAGAGGTTCCTTGCATCGAACGTCTATTCGAAATAAAGATTACTCCAGACCTCAAGTGGAACTCGTAGATTCGTACCACTGGGAAAGATGCTGGAAGAATGGTCGGTTAGCTGTACGGCTCCAGAAAGTACCTGATTCTTACTGCTGTACTCTCTCATTACAAGAGTCAGATCTGACCCAAAATGGAGTACTGCGACGCCATATTGACTGGAGCTGTCCAATCCTCAATGTTTAGTTTTGACAGAGTTCAAAAGTGATTACGCGGCCTTGTGGATGATGAATAATTTTCCTCCCCGTAATCCCTTTCTCATAGATGAAACATTGTTAGCCTCTTTCTACTCTATCGTTATTTCCAAGGTAAATGTTCAGAAGAGCTACATTCCTTAGTCCCACCGGTTCAAACCTTCACAGCTACGACCCGACATGCCATGGTCACCGGTTCGACTCATCCACATTTCCCGCGTATTCCACTGGGAAGAAGGAAGTTTCAACCAGACAACTTCTTCTTTAGAACTATTACGTTGTGGAACAAACACTTGAAAGGATATTTCTCCGACAACTACAATATTATCCTACATATCCTCATATTATTTTGTTCGGAAAATAATGTCCGATTTTACGGTAAACCTTATAATTGTGTTCTAATATATGATTATAATAGTTGCACAAAAATATATTGTTCATTCCTAATGATTAAAGTAGCCTCGTTGTTAATTTTATATCGATCCTCTTTCCGAATTTCGTTCTCAGATAACTGACGCACCCTGTGTATACCCTGTAAAATAGTATTAGGTTTTTCGGAAAATAATTTTTTCTTTTAGAATAAACCATTTAATTGTGTTCTAATATATGATTATAATAGTTGCACGAAAATATATTACTCATTCCGAATGATTAAAATATTCATAATTTATCTTAGAATGTTATATAGGCCTCATCTTGAACACGGAAAAAGAAGAGATGCGTTTTACTTATTTTGCATGAGTTCAAGCTTGGTCATAATGTTTCTCAAACTGTTGCATGTTATTCTCCCACTAAACAACAACAACAACAACAATAATAATAATAATAATAATAATAATATAGTTCATTCATATATATTCAGATATATATTTTAGATGTATCCATGAAATAAAATTTGGTATAAAGGTTTGTAAAATTAGAAAATACTTTCGATACATCTCAATATTATAAGCACAATTCTAATCTTCATCTTTCATGGCTCTTTCCGTTCTCGTGCAGGGTTCTTGTATTATTCTTTTTAAATAGTTTTTTTTTTTTTTTTTTTTTTTTAATATTCACCTCGTGATCTGACATGGAAGGCCAACGTCCATGACATACCAGAATGTCTTGATCATAACAAGCAAGACCATTTTTCCTACTTGGATGCGATGGTGTGTCCAGATCTCAAAATACAGATTGTATCATTTCGTTTTTACTTCAGACTTCAGACATTGGTCAGATTCTGTTTCTTTCCCAGCTGCTTTGTTTGAACTCAGGAGATTTACAGAATTTTGAGTGTATCGTCGTTCCTGCTCTGTCGTGTTTATTTCTGAATATTCCCCTTGGAATAGTTTGTTGCATTTACAGACGATGTGTTTTACAGTCTGGTTTACTATTGCTGCTAATGGTCCGTGATTTCATCCGGTAGAATATTATCTTGCTATAAAAATATGACAATGACTAATTCTTTCAAATATAGAAGCATCAAAGATAATTTATTATACGTGGAGTTGTTGATATATATATATATATATATATATATATATATATATATATATATATATATATATATATATATATATATATAGGTACCTCCAAAGATTCGTTAAAAAATAAGCATACCATGATGGGAAAATGCCCCAAACTTAATAAAGACAAAGTTTTATCATCAAAATCTTTGTTATAATTAAGAGGAAAGACCAAAGGATAGTTTTTTTGATTATTAAATTTTATTTTTTTATCTTTTTTAGAACTATCGAAATTTTGGTTCAAAATTTTGTTTTTCTTTCGTCAGTGGTGATGGTGGTTGAGGGCTACAATAAATTAGTATAGGACAATTTAGCGTCTTTTCTTGCGGCGAAAAACACATTGATTTGGAAATTCTTGCAAAAATCAAATAATGGTCGGATTTTAATTAAACTTGCAGGACTTATTCACAAATGAATTAAATTACTTTAGAAATGTTTCGTTTTTTTAGAAAATCTTGGTAGAAATATAGTTTTTTCATCTGTTACCCCCCTCCCCACTACCACCACCAACACCACTTTAATTTTATGAAATTTCGAGAAATTTAATTTTCTACGGTTTATGTTTATATTAATTATAAGCAGAACTCTTTGAAGAATTTAAATCATCATTTTCTTTCATTTAATAAAAAATGCAATAAAACTAATACATTATTTAATTAAAAAAGCTTTTAATTGTTTTTTATAAATAAATTATATTATTGACCCTATTGTCTTAAGAAAAACAAAATTTTTATTGGATAATTAATTTTTATAATTGTTTTCCCCTTTTGTTAAATTTTAATTAGAAAATTTATGAAGTTTTAAATCTTTTAAAATTCTGTATTAATTTACTGATTTCAAACAAAGCAGCTGGGAAAGAAACAAAATCTGACCAAAGTCTGAAGTAAAAACGAAATAATACAATCTGTATTTTGAGATCTGGACACACCATCGCATCCAAGTAGGAAAAATGGTCTTGCTTGTTATGATCAAGACATGTTGGTATGTCATGGACGTTGGCCTTCCAAGTCAGATTACGAAGTGAATATTATTAAAAAAATAAAAATAAAAACACTATTTAAAAAGAATAATACAGGAACGAGAACGGAAACAGCTATGAAAGATGAAGATTAGAATTGTGCTTATAATATTGAGATGTATCGAAAGTATTTTCTATTTTTACAAACCTTTATACCAAATTTTATTTCATGGATACATCTAAAATATATATCTATGAATGAACTATATTATTATTATTATTATTATTATTATTATTATTATTATTATTATTATTTTCTTTGATTTCTGGGGTTTACACATTTCTTTCCGAGTCCCGCCTAGGGACCTAAGGTTAGAAACGGCATCATGACACTTTCCACTGACAAAAAAATTACATAAATAAAGCCCTTCGTAAAGTGTGGGCTGTACTTGTCAGAACAATTTATTGTATCTCTTTGAGGCAGGGACTTCCAGGAATCCCTTCAATTAGTCTACTGCAATCTTTTCCAACCGGTCCTAGGGCTCCAACTACAACAGGGATTGTTGATGTTCCCATATGCCACACTTTTGAGATTTTGTTCCCATATGCCACATTTTTGAGATTTTTACCACATTTTTATTGTTGTTGTTGTTGTTTAGTGGGAGAATAACATGCTAAGAATGTGACGCTGGAGTACAAATATAACAATATGTGATTATTATTATTGTTAAATGAGAAAGCCACATGCCAACAAAGTGAAGTAGAGGTACAAATATATGAAGCCCAATATACCCATCATGACACCCAATTTGATAAGGGTATATCAGGCACATGCGTCACAGCCAAATGTACGCGATAAAGTTTTAATAAAAGCTTCTTGCTTACGGACATATCACATTGAAATACTGATTCCAGTATGATCACTGAAGTTAAGCAACGTCGAGCCTGGTTAGTACTTAGATAGGTAACCACTTGGAAATATCAGGTGCTGTAAGCTTGGATGTGTGGGTGGTGCAATAAATAGTGGCTCGGAATTGTTCCAATTCCCGTTGGGTTCGTTATATTCACTTTCGCGCTATTTGCCTTAGGGAAAAGTATGAATTTGCACCTCATCCCCCATGGGTTAATTAGTAAGACTTGTATCACTAAATAGTTATTATCGCAAAAACAACAAAATCATACAATCTAAAAATATTTTCTGGCTTTAAATAACCTGAAGATGGTTGATAAACCGTAAAATACAAATCACTCAATGAAAGCCTCTTCTTCTTCTTCTTCTTCTTCTTCTTCTTCTTCTTCTTCTTCTTCTTCTCAATGTTTTATCGCTTCCAATATAGAAAGCACATCTTATGCCAATATTCTAGTCGTCTACTAAACACTTTTAGAATGACATACCATTGACTGTATAGCGTGAAAAACGTTGGAACTGATTTTATTCTTCACTTTAAACCCCAGAAATTTGTTATAAAGTCGGTCAAATAAAAAATTCCTAATGTGATATCATTTTAGTGTGAACATTCTTATAAATGTGTATGGTATCAAGGGTGGTATAACACTTGAGACGCAAGGTTAAATAATTTATAAATATATGGACAAAGAAAATTTAACCTGAACGCGAGAAGGTAAGGCGATCTGAAAAAACAAACAAAGAATTTTTTTTTTCTTTTTGGCTGTCGGTGTAATCTAAGTTATAGCCACACTTATGAATCTGAGAAAACCTTTGGGATTTTAGCAAATATGGTTATTCGGGCTGGAATTGCAAATTGATATTGAATATGTAAGTATTTATTCCATATGTTGTAGTCATTTACTAAGCTTTCTTAATCTGTCACAGTCGTCTAGTACAACGGTGGAATCGAACTGAAAACAGTAAGAGACGTTCTTTTGAAAAAAAGCCTACTAACCATCACGTCATAAATGCCCTAAGAATGATTCTTTTAAATCCTTTACTAAGCTTAGCCTATTCTGGCAGAAGGCAACAATAATGGTTCAGGTCCATCACTGTAGCAAAATAGACGCTGATAAAAAAAAAATTGGTAGTCATTGGCTATTGTCTGCTTGCATATGAATCTCGATGATAGAGAAATGTGTGGATGAGTATGCGAGTCTACAGGATGACCCCTAAAGTCTTGTCACCCACTACCAAAAAGTAATGAGAACAACAGGCGAACAAATAATACAGTAATACAAAGTACATATACTGAATTCAGTTTATTCACTTTCATTAACTGTGTTGTAGAGTAGTTTTCACAGTGGAGGCTTGTATTTCGCTAAGTCGGTCCTAAAAAGGGTTCGACGTACAAAACGTTAGGAACCTAAAATAAGAGTTAATGACGCAGCAATCTAGTTGTGATGGTTGATACTTCAATGTCCGATATCGACTGACTTACTCAACCCCACTGAGCTCAACAGACGACCGCTACTACTACTACTACTTATTATGTGTGGGAGAGTCTATTATAATAGAATAGGTAATGTTTTGGTATAACATTAACGCTGTCACACATCGAAAAATTGGCACCATCTTTTTCCCGTAGGAGCTCGTGTCATCCATCTGAATTAGAAAATTATGTTATGTAGGGGTGACAAGCTTTTCGGACCACCCTGGACTTTGTTGGGTAACTACAGCAAAACGGCGGTTGCATTCATTGTTAGCCTTGACAGCAGTATCACGACTCGAAAAGAATTAATGACGCAAGTAACGAGATAAAATTATCACGCTTCTCGGTGAGTAACACATCGGCGTCATCGGGATGTGGGTGGATAGAATGAAAACTTGCGAAAGAAAGAAAGTATAAGAAAAAAAGGACAAAAATAAGAAAATATGAGCATGAAAAAGAAAGAAAGAAAGAAAGAAAGAAAGAAAGAAAGAAAGAAAGAATAAGAAAATAAGGCGGAAACATAAGAAAGGGAAAAACAACCAAGTAAGAAAAAAAGAACGAAAGAAAGAAAGAAAGAAAATGTGGAAATAAGAAAGCAAGAAAGGAAGAAAGAATAAGAAAATAAGAAAGAAAAAATTAAGAAAATATAAAAGAAAGAAAAAAAAGGAGGAAAGAATATGAAAATAAGACTGAAGCATAAAAACAGGAAGAAACTAGCAAGCAAGAAAAAAGAACGAAAGAAATAAAGAAAGTGAATGTGAAAATAAGAAAGAAAGAACAAGAAAAAAGAACATGAAAAAAAGAAAAAAGAAAAAACAAGAAAGAAAGAAAGAAAGAAAGAACAAAAGATCAAAATTAAAGATGAAATAAGGAAAAAAGGAGAAAAATAAGAATGAAAGAAAATAAGAAAGAAAATGTGAAAATAAGAAAAGACAAAACAGAAAGAAAGAAATGTTAAAGGAAATATCCGTAAATGTTTACCAAAAGTAAAGATAGATAAGCACAACATAACAAGAAAGAAAAAGAACAGAAATAAAAAAAAAAACTATAAAATAATGATTCGATTTCTATTCACAAACGTGTTTCCGTATCAGAGTAAAAACAATACACATAGATTTATAGTAGACGTTTGTAGTAGCGAAATACGTCTAGAATTCTATTGTAATGTAAGCAAAGAGTTTGTTGAGATTGGGGGAAACACCTAACCGATTGCTCTCCCAGAACCTATGGGAGTAATAGGGTGAGAGGGAAAAGTAACAGAGTGTAACAAAAATAACATTGCCTCGGAAACCACTGCAACTTGAGGAACAAAATGCCCACGGGACCTACTTCACTAGACAACAGTGTCTTCCAAACTGCCGGCTGCTGTTTTCCCCCAGCTTTTATTGGCATGAGGCATCTTACAAAGACTCGCATCTTGACCAGTTGCAGAGAGGCCCGTATCTAGACATGCCAAACTGTTCCGCTGCCAACTGGAAACAGCTGGACGTAACTGGTGTTGTCAAACGTGTCCGCATGCGATCCGAAGCTTCTTATGCGTCTGTACTGACGCACGTATATAGAGCTTCTTGGTGAGTGAAGTTGTATTGATGATAAGGATTCGATTTCTGTTCATGAATGCCTTTTCGTAACAGAGTCAAAACAAAGCATATTAGCGAGATTTTGAATAGAGAAACACTATTAGTATACTTCAACTTGAAAAATAAACCAATTTCCAGGCCATTTTTCGATTTATTAACAATAGTGTGGCATCTACGTTCGAGCTCACCCCGATAATAAAGATCTGTATTTGCTTCAATAGTTGAAAAGAAAATAACAATAGGATTTAAAGAGAAAAAGAAATGAAAAGAAAACAACATGGACAGAAATCGTTGATAGAAGAAGAGGTGATAATAAACAAAAGGTAAAATATGTAAAAGACAAAGAAAATATGAAAATTATTAAATTTTGAGTAACCTAAGCAATCGAACGCGAGTTGATGTGCCAAGCGTTTCATCTAACAGTAGAGCCTAATATGTAAAAGATGACTATAGATGTTTCATTTATTGGTCTGTATTGATGATAAAGATTCGATTTCTGTTCATGAATGTCTTTTCGTAACAGAGTAAAAACAAAGCATATTAGCGAGATTTTGAATAGAGAAACACTATTAGAAACACTATTACTCCTACGTCATCTGACAGAGAAAGTTGTCTATAAATTAGGTCCCGTGGGCATTTTGTTCCTCAAGTTGCAGTGGTTTCTGATGTTAATGAGGTAGTGGTGTCCTTCCTCTGCTTATACGTCCTCCTTGTTCTTTTTGATCTTCTGTGATGAGCCAAGGTGGTCTCATATGTCAACAGCACTGGATTGACTGCTGTTAGTGAAGGTGGTGCCGAGAGGTGTTTTTCCATGTGACAGGATTGATATTTAAAAAAATATATCAGGTCTTGTTTATAAAAGTCATTAAATCGAAATTGTTAGCGGCCAATTTGTCGCCTTCCGTTTGAAAGTTCTGAGAATGTCTTTCGATATTCATCCAATGCTCTTCATCCAAACATATCCCACCCAGCGGAAACGTCACTGTCTCAGAAGAACGTATATATTGGGAAACTATTATCTTCCAAGCATTGTACGTGAGTAAATTCATTTTAAAAGATGAGTTCATACTCATTATTCTCACCTGTTGTACTGAAGGAAAATTTAGACGAACTTGCTCATCCATATAAAAAAAAACATTATGATTAATTCTTGAATAGGATTTTATTTCAACAGAACACATGACTAATGTATAAACGAGTTCGATCCTCACATGGTATCATATATTTTCGGTCTTGTGCCAAGTCTAAGCTACGTTTAGAAATCTACTAAACACGGTGGACAGAAGTTTTGGTTAAGTGAATCTAATTACCTCGCGGTAATGAATTCAATCCCAGGGTCTGGTAGTGATAAAAAGCCATATTCAGTGAAACAGACAGACCAGCGAAGTATTCACGAAAAATTAACTGATATCTGCTGGCATAAACAAAAGAATAAGAACAATCTTCCCAGTGGATTGAATAAAGAACTTAGTTCAAAATTTCCAAAACGGCTTATTAATGACGACAGACACCTGAAGAAAACCGTTAAGTACAATAGCCGAAACGTTGAGAACACTAGTCCTGGAAAATCAGTATGTATATATATATATATATATATATATATATATATATATATATATATATATAATAAGAAAACTCAGAATTCTGAGCTTTTCTTCTAAACCAGTTGCTACCTTCAAGACAAGAAGAAATAACCCGTTATTTAACCAATAGCTAAAGAAAGACGGATTAATCCATTTTCCAAGGGCGTTAACGCAAAGTGGACGAAACAGAATCGAGCAAGAATTGAACCTCGCTCGATGAATTCACTTTCCGCGCCTCCTTAAATAGTTATAATTCAACTAAAAAAGAGGTGAACTTTTAAGAACACCGACTCCTACGTCATCTGACAGAGAAAGTTGTCTCTGTTTCTTTCTTTCTTTCTTTCTTTTTTTTTACTTTTAATAACTCAGTGACTCCATGCGGTTGTATCAATTGTCGAAGTTCTCATTGTTCCTCCCATTTGTCAATGTTTGGCCTTCCGTTGCTTGTTTTTTTGGTGAAGTTACGGGGATCCGCCCCGGCCGGCTTTCATGTGAAACAAACATAATGTCATACAAATGCTGACCCGCTTTGCCCGGATTTTTGCTCCTAAAATATCACATTTAAGATCCCTGCTTATGTATAAATTACACTATAAATTGAGAACCTGTTATCGCCTCTCTCTCTCTCTCTCTCTCTCTCTCTCTCTCTCTATATATATATATATATATATATATATATATATATATATATATATATATATATATATATTAAGACATTTTTATGCTTATACATTCTTTTTATAGATACAAATATTTAAGTAAATGCTCTGTTTTATGATAAACAGTATTAATAACATTTACCGGCCTGAATGTCCGAGAAATTTTCATAGAAAATATCCGTTCTCCGACAGGAATCGAACCTGTATCCTGTACGGAACCGTCGTGTAGCCTGACGTGCCTTAACCGATCGAGCCACGAAGGATCGTTCGATTAGCAAGGTGGGATTTTACTGTTTTTAAACTTCAATCTTCCATGAATCTCTGACGTACATTCATATATGCTCAAAGCGTATCCAAATGTAAACAAATGACGTCTTCTTCTTCTATGTGCTGTGTGCCTTCGAGAAGTGGACGATCATGGCTCTTCACGCCTTCCTATCGTAGCACTAAGTTCAGATCTTCACAGTTAACACCTACCATGTCACGTACACTGGGACAAACCATCCCCATTCTCTTCATATTCCATTAATAAGACTGAAGTTACATTCGAACAGCTTCTTCTCAAGAACCGTGACTTTGTGGAACTGACTCTCGAGTGGATGCTTCCCTGATCGTTACAATCTTAAACTCTTTAAGTCTACATATCCTCATAATATGCACTTCTTATTTCCTCTTCTTACATTTATACAAGCACAGTTAACTGTCTACTATTTATGATGAGGATTTTAACAATTAGCAGACATGAATGACGTAAGCACAATTTCAAAGTTATTTGGGTCCTCATAAATGACCTGTAAAATCTATTAATGTTTCTATTAGGTTGAGTCGTAAATAATTTCCGTTTTTGTTTATCAGCTTGATTCTTGAACATATAAAGTACAATTACGTTTTATTAAATTATATATACACTATTATTTGTTAATAAAAATAAGGTTCAGATATCTCTTTAAGAAGTCAGGGATCGATCTGACACTGTAAATATATTAGAAATAAGATTTATTTTCTAAAATGATAGAAAAAAATCAGCATTTTTCGATTCTGACAAATGACGTGTTTTGAGGACGGCCTTCTTTCTTTTATGTACCATGTCCCTTCAGGACGTGGGCGATCATGGCTCTTTCCTATCTTTTGTAGCTTTTAGCAGTTTTTTTTTTTTTAAATTAATGCTAATTATTCTCCACCAAATTTGTTCCTATATTTTTTCGAGCGGACCAGTCAACTTAAGTAGTGCTGTTCATACCGTTATTTTATATTACAAATATTTATTTCTTCAATATAATCTCTTTCCTTGCCAATGCACTTATTCCGTTAATCTATGTTTATGAAAAGATGCCATTTTAGCACGAATGCAAGATTGCACAATATCAAAATGTTAACTATTATCATGCAAGCCTTTCATTTTCAGAATCTATTTTTGTTATTAAACAAATCATTAGGACGCGATGGTCTAGAGTTTTAATGTAGTTTAACTTTATTTATTTGGGACAAAACGTGTCCCAACATGTATATAAATATATACACCAGTGAATGTGTTTCTGATAGACAGACGTAAGAAAAAAATCTTAAACCTAAATTTATGAGTCGTCATAAATGTCCTGTAAAATCTATTAATGCTTCCATTAGGTTGAGTCGTAAATAATTTCCGTTTCCGTTTATCAGCTTTATACAAGAAAATATATGTGCCATGCGTAAAACACGCTTAGGCGATCATATATCTTTCCCTACATGACTGAAGAGGCAGATATTTTCTTTCTGCGGTAAACCATCCAAGGCCATAGAACCCGGTCTATCCTGCTATTTACCCATAGCTGGGGGAGAATAAAAAATTCATTCCTTTCCTTTCGTAAGTGAATGTAATGGATCTGAC